TTTGTGAATACCAGATTTTGATGTACAAATGTGCTTATCTCAATGAAATAAGCAGTTTAGTACAACCAGCATCAGAAATTGTGTCATTTGGTGAACGTGAGATTTTGAAGTTCCAAAGTACTTATCTCCCTGAAATAAGCATTTTACTGCAATCAGCATCAAATTTAAACATTTTTGTTGAATATCAGATTTTGTTGTTCAAACATTTTTAGCTCACTGAGATAAGCATTTTAATGCCATCAGCATCAGATTTTGACTTTTTTGGTGAATGCCAGATTTGGATGGTGTAAAGTGCTTATCTCAGTAAAATTAGTTCTTTATTACAATCAGCATCAGAGTTTCGGATGTTTTGTGCGTATGAGGTTTCGAAGTTCAAGAGTTCTTATCTCACTGAAATAAGCATTTTAATGCAGTCAGCATTAAATTTTAAGATGTTTGGTAAATGTGAGATTTTGACCGTCACGTGCTTATCTCACTGAAATAAGCGTTTCAGTAAAATCAGAATCAGATTTTGAGATGTTTTATGACTGTGAGGTTTTGATGTTTCAGTGTGCTTATGTCATTGAAATCAGTGTTTTAATGCAATCAGCAGCAGGTTTTTAGACGTCAGATTTTATGGTGAAAAGTGCTTATTTCCCTGAAAGAAGCATTTTACTACAATCAGCATTAAATTTTTAGTTGTTTGGTGACTGCAAGATTTTCATGTTCAAACATGTTTATTTTAGAATGAGCCAGCATGTCCCAGAAGATTGCTGGAAGCTTTGGTTTTCTGGTACAAATTTGCTTTTCTGACATCAGTTATTTGTTTTAATAATGTGCCAGCATTTTCCAGCAATTTGAAGAGGTTTGATATTTTGCGACTGAGTTGTGCATTCCACTGATATCTGGTTTTCAGAAGCCATATACTAAACTAGCTTTTAATAGAAAATGTAGCATAGCTGTGAAAGTACAGAGTTGTTGGCTGCTCTCTAGTTGTCCAGAACTTCTTGAAAGTTATGAGAAAAGACTCAGAAAAAGAAAAAGAAACAAGTGAATATTCTTTGTAGCCTGCAGGCATCTGTTTGCATGAATTAGTGACTTTGAATTCACAGAATCCATTTTTTTCATAGAATCCCTACGGTGTGGAAACAGGCCCTTTGGTCCAACAAGTCCACACAAACCTTCAGAGAATCCCACCCAGACCCATTCCCCAAACCCACCTAATCTACACATCCCTGAATTTAGCAATTTAGTATGGCTATTCCACCTGGCCTGCACATCTTTGGACTGTGGGAGGAAACCAGAGCACCTAGAGGAAAGCCATGCAGACACGGGGTGAATGTGCAAACTCCACACAGACAGTTGCCTAAGCAGGAATCAAACCCAGGTCCCTGGCGCTGTGAGGCAGCATTGCGAACCACTGAGCCACTGTTTCAAGCAAGACATCCAATTAACTTGTCCGTGATTAATAAAGGATTTCAGAAGACCTGGTACTCATCATTAAACCATTGAATTGGCCAATTACCATTCATTATCTTTAACTTTTTTCCTTAAATATATCTGTCTGTTTATAAGTGTGAGTACAGGGTCCAATCAAGGAAGATTGAGTTTAAATCATGGACACTAATCTGATCTTTTTTGTTTAACTTTCCTCTGCTAAAGTTACAATATTGATAATCAAATGTTATTTTGTTTAAATTTGGTGTCTGATATCTATTATTCATAGAGTCTGGTCAGGAGGAAATAGGCAATTTTGGGTGGCTTTGAATGTTTTAATTTTACTGTGCTATGAATCATAGACAGATCTATAGACAGACTGATTTGTTTTGGTCTCCTGGTATTGGCTGCAGCATTGGCAATCCTCAGACACTGACTCCCCCTGTACATAACCCTGCACCAGACATCACCAACCAGTAATGTTGGACACAAAGAATGACAATGCAGTACAAAAGCAATGATGTCAGTAGGATCTATTAAACTGTAAATGCCTTGCTCATCTAACATTCACATGCTGCAGCAGGTTCTCAACAATAGGTATCAATGCATGACAGTCTGTGTGGACATGAAGCATCATGTTGGTACAGTTGCATTCAGGACTACAGACACAGAAACAAACAGATGTACAGCAAAACAATGGAATTTGTACAAATGTGAGAATTCACATATATATTGTTCAATCAAGGGATAACTGGTGCTGGCCAGCCAACTACAGGTAATGTTGAAAAAGAGAAAACAAAGAGTGAACTGCTGCTGACTGCGTTTTAGTAGGAAACAGATCTGTTTTCAAAGCTTCTGGACAAGGGCTGTTTTTCTGTTCTTTTCTCTCTCTAATTATCCTCCAGTTATCAATTTGTTGATAGCTCTGAGCAAAGGATCCCAGTGTGTAAGAAATAAGTGAATGTATCCAGAGGTCAGAGAAGATTGTGTGGTAATGTTGGAATTCAAGCAAAAATGTAGTCAGTTCCTCGTGCCAGTGATACAACTCATGGTCTAGTAATTTCATAAAGGCTTGTTTCATTATTGAAATGGCTCCTGACATTGTGAATTATGATTTTTAAAAAAATTGTTCCTTAACTGCGCCTATCTGTCGTGAGAGTGGATGTTTTATGATTAAAGATGATTGGGCTTAGATTAGTTATTAATTACATTGCATGGTTATTCATCTGTGTTCAACTATAGTTATGTTATTAACAACAAAATGTTAATTTTTGTTTAATTTATAAACTTGCTGTCCAAGTACTGTTACTTGTAAAGTCTGGTTCAGAACAATTGAGCAATATTGAGGGTCATTGAATGTTTTCACTTCACATGTTGCGAATCCAGTCATAGTAAGGCTGATTTGGTTTGGTTTGCTTTGCTAAAGTGGAGGTGATGCTTCAAATCAGCCATGTATTTAATGACAGATCAGTCTTGACAGGTCTCATGGTTCACTCCTGCTCCTATCTTGTGTCCTTGTGTTCTGAGGGTATGGTGGAGGCAGATTCGATTAAGCTTTCTAAATAGAGTTGGATAATCACCTGAAGGGAAATACTTGCAAGGTGATGGGGCAAGAGCAAAGATTTACGACATAGGATTAGGGTTTGGAACGGCAAGGGATTAAGGCGAAGTGAATTGTACTTCCAAACAGCTGGCACGGACATGACAAATCAAATGGCCTCCTGCTATACTGTAATTATTCCCTGATTCTATTACAACCTGAGCCAATAATTCCTCTTACTACAGTATATTGAGTTATTCATGCATGGTAAATAGAACTTCAGAACCTTCAACAATGGGGATATAACTGGAATTTATAGTGTCAATTTCAAAAAGTCTATGTTTTAAATATGTTTACATACATACAAACATAGACAACATTCACACAGGACGTAAAATAAAATGGACAAAAAACACTTCAACATTTTGTTAGCTTTGGCCCAGAATCTGCTCACCATTTAGTTTGACATTTTCTTCTACATGGAACTCCAATTAACTTTGTGCTGCAAATTACTAGTATTGAGAGTTGACAATGGTAATACCAATTGAACATTCAGGCCTTTGATGACCAATGGAACTAACAGTTTAGTTTCCACACCAGTGAAATATAAAAATTTGAATGTTAACCTCAACTCAGCTGCATGCATCTGTTACTTCTACACTCAACAATACTAAATGGTCATGTTCATCCAGCCCTGCACCTTGTTGTCTCGGATTCCCCAGCATCTGCAGTTCCTACTATCTCTGATTCAATTTTAACCCCACTGCGAAGCCTCTTCTAAGGATGCCTAACCTGAAGAAGTTACCCTCCTCCCTCCGGACAGCCTCTCTGCTCCTAGGATGCTGCTTGGCCTGCTGTGTTCATCCAGCCCTGCACCTTGTTGTCTCGGATTCTCCAGCATCTGCAGTTCCTACTATCTCTGATTCAATACTAAATGGTCTCCTGGTTGACCTCACAACCTGTTTAAACTTGAACTCAGACTGAAATTCTTTCCCCAAATTTCTCCTTCAAATAGAAGCACAGAATGATTATACCACAGGAGGACAACTTCAGCCTGTTGTGTCTATGGCTGGCTCTCTGCAACAGCAATTCACCCAGTCCCATCTCTTTTCAGATGCTCTTTAAAACGTGTCTCTAAGTTTTGAACCTCTGTCATTAAACATCCATAAATGGCTCAATATCAAATTTTGCTTTGGGATACTTTACTATTTTAGAGATGATACATAAAAACAAGTTATTAGCATAGCTTGAAGTTGCAGTTTTGACCGCGAAATATTTAAACAGTGTTTATTAAAATAACAACAAATTGCAACTGACTCCTTTGCATATGGATTACAATGCACAAACAAAAGAAATATACAGTCAGATGCCCACAGTTCAGTCATTTTTTTAATTGATGGAATTCAGAAACAAAGACAACTGCTACCTGCATGTGGAAGTGATCTAATCTATAGTAATTCATAACAAATTAAATTTGCTGATCAGAAATATTGTTTACTTGGCTGCGTATTCTGATTCAGTGACAATCACGCCCAACAATGCATTTTACAATTTGTCTTCTCAGATTTCTTTTGGTTCACTCATTTCGTTCCAGCCCCTAATTATTTGTTGTTATTGGTTTCAATAATTTCTCCATTTTAACTTGCATCCAAGGTACATGCTCTATGCAGCACGTATAGGATAATTACCACTTATTGTTAACCAATTTCAAAGTGGAAAGTCACAAAAACACACATTGCCCTACTAAAAGGGTCCTTACCAAAAACAACATAATGTTCTGTGTTGAGTAGAATTTGTTTTTCCAGTGCAAATTTTGAGATACTAGTGGAGATGTTGGTGAACATTGGTAATAAGATTATGCTATTTGTCACTATTTACAACTCACAGCATTTCTTTTTTCTCATTACATAGTGCTTTTTAATTACACATTAATAATTGCATGCACTGTAGACTCAATAATTTACAGCAAATTTTGGGCAAATATATTGAAGGAGTATAATCAAATCATTAACAACAATTTGCAATCACTCTTTCTATTATGGCTAGGCAGCTGTGTAAATTACATGCTCACTTATGTGCAGTGGTATGTGTGCAAGATTTCCTGCCATCAAAGCACAGATCTGATTCATTGCCTTTCAACACATATTGCTATTCCCATTCCTCCACCAATACACAAAGCAGCGATCCCACGCTTTCCTCCTGTTCTCTCCAAAGTGTAGAGAAGTGTGACCAGGATACGGCACCCAGACATTCCCAACGGGTGACCTAAAGCAATAGCACCACCTTGGATGTTTACCTATAAAAACACAATCAGAGCTAATGTCAATCTACACAACTCTTTTCTAAAGCAAAAGTACTCCTTGAATTTTTGTCCTGATCTATCAACCTCCCTGCAACCAAATGTTCCTGAAGAGAGTAAGTTGTACGCCATATGGGAAGACGCAGTTTTCTAGTAGCTTGGTGATGAGAGGGATAATTGATGGTTCAGCAGAGTAATTTATAATTTAGTCAATTTGTCTCTTCTAACCATCAAAAATATCTACATTAATATTATGTTCAGGGTGATTTGAGACGTAACTGAAATTCCAAGGAAGGTTGGTTGTTGTACAGCTACAACTGTACAAGCTCTACAGAAACTGGAAATTCACCAATTGCAGGATTATGGGGATCTCCCAATAATGGATGGAACCAGAGATGTCCAGCAGTAAACAACAAATTATTCCTTTTCAACATGTCATCTGCACTCTGCAGAACTTCAGGACACTTCAAGTGCCCTGGAGGACCTGTGCTTTGGAAGTGTCCCCAGATGGATCAGCTCCAGGTCAGGATTTTCAAGCTTGATTGGCAGCTCCAGTCAATGCAGAACATCAGAAAGGATCATGTGTTCCAGGAGGTGGCCACCCCTCAGGCAGGGGCTATCCGAAAGAACAGGAAGAAGCAGGAAATGCACAGGGCCTCAGGGTATATACCACTCTAGGTGTTGAGTAGTGATTTGCTTTGACTTGATTTATTGTAGTAACATGTACCTGAGTACAGTGAAAAGTGGTGCATGTGTTCAAGCTTCTGTATCTTCTGACTGATGGGAGATTTTGGAAGAGAGCATTACCGAGGTGGGAGGGATCTTTGATGGTGCTGGCAGCCTGTCTGTGGCAACGAGAAGTGCAAATGTAGTCCATGGATGGGAGCTTGGCTTCTGAGATAGTCTGGGCTGTGCACACAACTTTCTGTAGTTTCTTATGGTCCTGGGCAGAGCAGTTGCCGTACCAGGCCGTTATGCACCCAGATAGAACGCTTTCTGTGGTGCATGTGTAAATGTTAGTGAGGGTCCTTATGGACATGCCATTAGAGAATGCAGGGATGAAAGGAGTGTAGTGCAATCCAGTTATGGTACCTATGGACATGGAGTGCACAGAATGAAACAGTGAAGAGTAGAAATGCAGTTGTTATAGGGGATTCCACAGTCAGGGAAACAAAGGATTTTTGTAACAGTCATTGAGAGTTCTGCATAGTATGCTGTCTACCTGGTGCCAATGAAGGAGAAGGGTGCAGAATATTCTGTGGGTGGAGTGAGTCAGAAGGTGCAATGAAATAGACATTGACGTCCTATAAACAGATTTTCAGGTGTTAAGAAGCAAGTTAAAAAATACAACCATGAAGGTGATAATCTCTAGATAACTTCAAGTGCCTTTTACTAGCTGGAATAAAAATAGGTAACAGAAACAATGCTTGGCTTGAGGTAAAGTGTAGAAGGGAGGGCTTCAGATCCTTGGAGAATTGAGACCAGTTATGGAACAGGAAGAACCTATTCAATGAAGATGGGCTGCAACTCAATAGGACTTGGACTTGTGAGAATGTTTGCAAGTGTTGTTGCAGGTGTGTTAAAGTAAAGTTAGCAGTAGGATGGATACCAGCAGATAGAAATAAAAGAGAGGAATAAGGTGCATGAGGTGAGAATGCTGGGCAAAGCCTAACCCTAACCCTAACGCAGTGAAAGAAATTCTTCCATATTAAGTAGGAGCGGACTAAGGAGGACCATGGGTAACCTACACCCTCAGAAGATTCTTTAAATTCACTCATGGGATGTGGGAGACACTAGCTGGGCTACTATTTGGGCTTCTGAATTCCTAATACAGTACCCTTTTCATTATGTTGCCATCTAGGTGCCTGTCGGTGAACACCTGGAAAAGAGTGATCGTCATATTTTTATATTAGTAATGGAAAAAGGCAGGGAATGGTCTAAAGTAGAATGTTTAGATCAGATAAGCACGAGTTGCAATGCAATAAGTAGGGATCTATCCAGGATAAAATGGAACTAACAAAAAGGGGTGATCTTTAAGGAAGAGATGCATCAGTTACAAGTTAGGCATATTTCATTAAAGGGTTAAACCAAAAATAGAATTTCTTGATGACAAGAGATTATGCTGAAACAAATTAAAAGAGGGCATACAAGTGAATGTTCCAAGTAAGAACCAGGTCAAAACCCAGATTTAGAGGAGAGGTGAAGAGAAAAGTAGACTAGCAGGGGAAGAATATGAGGATAGAATTGCAGCCAACATAAAAGGCAGCCCAAAAATCTTTTACACCTCTACGCCTATATAGTAAGTGGGCAATAAGAGCGGGTTCTATTCAGAACAAAGTAGGTGACACATGTTTGGATGATGCAAATGTGATATCCTTATTCAAGAAATGGCTCAGGACGGCATAGCACCTGCAGGCCAGTTAGTTTAAAAACAATAGTAAAGTTTTAGGAACAATAATCAGGACAAAAAAAAGAACAAGACTTGGAGAGGTTGAGGTTCATAGAATCATACAATCCCTACAGTGTGGAAACAGGCCCTTCAGCCCAACTAGTCCACACCGACCCTTGGAGCATCCCACCCAGACCCATCCCCGTGTAATGCAACTAATCTACACATCCCTGAATACTATGGGCAATTTAGCATGGCCCATCCACCTAGCCTGCACATCTTTGGATTGTGGGAGGAAACCAGAGCACCCAGAGGAAACTCCCGCAGACATGGGGAGAATGTGCAAACTCCACACAGACGGTGGCCTGAGGGTGGAATCAAACCCGGATCCCTGGCACTGTGAGGCTGCAGTGCTAACCACTGAGCAGCTGCAGTGCTAACCACTGAGCCACCGTGCTGCCCAATTAATTAAGGAAATTTGTAAACGGCACCTTGTGCTTGACTCATCCATGTTTCTGATGAAGTAACATACTAGTTTGATGAATGGATTGCAGTGGATGTTACTGACATGGATTTTCAGAAGATAATTGACAAAGAAAAACATAAAGGGCTGGTTAACAAAATTAAGGCTCATGGAATTTGAAGGTCAGTAACTAACTGAATAAAAAGAAGTCTTCAGGCCAGAAAACAATGGGGTGGGGTAATGGTTTATTATTCAGACTGGATGAGTAGACAGCACGTGTTCTCTAACAGTCAGTGCTAGGATCAGTGATATTTTAGTTGCATATCAATTTCTTGTTCCTAGAAGTAAATTGGAATTTCAAAATTTGCTAATGATACAAAACCTGGATGAGTGGCAAACAGTGAGGATTACGTGAATAACCTGGAGTATAATATAGATAGGCTAGCAGAATGGGCAGCTAGAATTTAATGCAGGGAAATGCAAAGTGATGCAATTGGTAGAAGGGATAGGAAAAGGCAAAAGATTGTTCAGGAATGGAGGGATCTGGGGTTGCATGCGCATAGATCTTGAAAGGTAGGAGGACATATTTGGACAGCAGTTCATACAGCATATGAGATTTTGGACATCATAAAACCGTGAGTGCACATACAAGGAAATTATGCTGAACGTTTAATAATGCCTGGTAAGGCTCCAAATAGGGTATTATACCCAATTCTTGTCACAAGGATCCAATTTATAAAGGATACGAAGGCCCTTGAGAGGCACTAGGAGAGATTTACCAGAATGGTTCCACACACATTGACGTTTGTTACAAGGCTAGAAAAGTTGCTTTCTGGCACGATGGCTCAGTGGTTAGCACTGCTGCCTCACAGCACCAGCTACCCAGGTCCGATTCCACCCTCAGGCGACTGCCTGTGTGGAGTTTGCACACTCTCCCTGTGTCTGTGTGGGTTTCCTCCGGGTACTCCAGTTTCCTCCCACAGTCCAAAGATGTGCAGGCTAGGTGGATTGGCCTTGCTAAACTGACCATAGTGTTCAGGGGTGTATAGATTAAGTGGGTTATAGGGGGATGGGTCTGGGTGGGATGCTCCAAGGGTCGGTGCGGACTTGTTCGGCCGAAGGGCCTGTTTGCACACTGTAGGGATTCTATGATTCTAGACTGGCATTTTAATTAAATAAATCTGTGGACTGACTGGATTGCTGCAAGGAGAGCCAGCATGGATTCAATGTGAAAGATAACTTCTTTCTTTGCTGTAAATATTCCTAGGACTCTGAGTTAAAGCAAGGTGTTTCCCTAAGCATCTGCAGCACAAATTCCATTGCATAATCTGGGCTACATTACAACACAATTGGCATATTGACAACTGACCTCAGCCATTAAGAAGAGAGCTAGGGAAAAGGACAGTAATGCTCTTCTGTCTGATTCGTGAATGGTCATTCATTTGAAAATAAATGTAGGAACATTAGGTGGTTTTGTTGCAGCACCCAATTTTTGAATGTCAGCTTGACTCTCAGATGAAGAAATGGCATTTGGTTAGGGAGGGAACAGAGGACAGTTAATGGTCGTGCAATCATTCTCCAGTATGGTCTGGCACCTTAGGAGCAGTCACAGAAAGAGGAAAACATGAGCAAAAAATTACATATAAAAAAGCATCTTAAGCATCCAAAGCTAAAAGTATCATGCAATGGAGCTATGATATTCTCTAAAGTCATGGATAAAAACTACATAAGGGTTGCTACAAAGAAGAGTCTGTTTTTGACACTAGCACCAACTCTTATTTTTCATGGATGTGGGAACCTGCAGCCATTGAGAACTTGCCACATCAGACATATCAGCTACTCATGAGCAGCATAAATGACTTATGTGGCAATCATAATGGGAATGCACAGTGTACACTCAGGCTACAGACTGTAGAGGGATCGTGACACAAGCCCCTTTCAACTGCTTGAATATACACCTGGTTGTAAGAAATTGTACAATTCTTGGTTTTTTAATACGTGCTTTTTTCCAAGTACACCATTAGTTACTGTTAAAATAATTTTCTTCTCTCCATCTCACCTTTTCTGGGTTTAAACCAAGCTCCTTGACAACAGCAATTGACTGTGCAGCGAAAGCTTCATTAATTTCAAACAGATCAACTTCATCCAATGTCCAGCCAGCTTTATCCACCTAGTAAATTTAGGAGATTAGTAAATTAAGCCCATGGTTCAACAGTGATTTAACATAACCTCTATTCCACCAGACTTTGAAAATACTGATGATAATGATAATGTAAAAATAGGTCTCTTATTACAACATGTCCTGTAGATTTGTTAGAAGGAATACTTGAATAGCAAATTAATAATCATCACGGGTGGTGATAATAAAAAGGTGATAAATTCAGCATACATAGTGCAGGAGCTGAATTAAGCTGCTGAAACAACTATTTTCACAATGCCACATCTCTTAATTTCCTCATGATACTGCGCAGTGCTTTATTCTCAGCTACTTGTCTCTTGACAAAAATACCAAACCGGTCACAGAAGTGTGTGACAGAACCATTAAATCAAGACAGGCAGGTGTCTACACAGCTCCTGGAGTTAAGATGTTGGACAAGGAGAAACTAGATTATTGATTTTATTTTTTATTGTTCTAACAAATACAAGGGTAATGTTATTTGACTAGTAATGCAAAAGCACTAGGGACACAGGTTCAAACTCCCCTGTCATAGCTGGTGGAATTTAGATTAGATCAATTAAAAAATCTGGAATTAAAAGCTTGTTTCAGTATTGGTTACCCTGATTTCATTGTTGTTTATAATAAAAATCTATCTGACTCACTAATGCCTCGAGGAAAGGAAACTTGTTCTAACTGGTCTGGTCTACACACGAGTCCAAATCCACAACAACGTGGTTGACTTTTAAATGCCTTTTGAAAGCCTGTTAGCTATTAAGTTATATTAAGTTGCTACAAGGTCAGACAGGAATGAAACTGGATGAACCACCCAGCATTGACCCGTGAAGTAACTCCACAGATATCCTGACAGGTATCCTGTCACTGAGTCAGCCCTTATTTACACATGGAAAGTCCTTGGCACTGATTCAGCTTCCTTAGAGCCAGCTCTCAGAGTGAACAGAACCTCTGACACCCCTGTTTATATTAGTCAGCCAGGGCTCCCCTTTTGGGCCAGATTAATAGACCCAGTCAGTGAACTCATTCTACGAGGTCCACCTGGTTGACCTCATTACAATCACTACATCCACCCCCGTCACCCCACCTCCAACCCCGCGTCTGAGGCCATAAGCCGGTTCTTTTGTTTTTGGAGCTCCTCCTGAAGCGTTTTAGCACTGGGTCAAGTTCTCCCAACTCTGTCTCTAGTACAGGTGGAGTGTAATGCACAGTAGCTCACATCTTGCACCCAGAGCATCTCGGAAGAAATTCATTCTCTTCTTCAGGAAGCAGAGGTGAAGAGGCAGCAACATCCACCATGTCCACCTCAGATTCTAAGCCACCTTCAACGCCTGAAGGAGAGAGCAAACCCACAGGTTCTGTAACAGTTGGAAAGTCAGTCAAGGAGCCAGGCATGTTTTTACTCCCGCAATATTTGCAAGTTTACAGCTTTCACATGGTCATGTGCTTGTTCAGGACCATCGCACCTACCCGAACTTTTATAGGTCACTGGATCTGACCTTGCATCAAACATGCCTCTTACCCATGCAGGGCCACTCCTGTGGTTCGCACACCAAACTTCATCCCCTGACATAAACTGTCTCTCTCGCTGAGCAGAGTCACGTGTCAGGCATTGGCGTTCCTGATGCTATTCCACCCTCCTCCCCTCAAGGTCCAAGAAGTTCAGATTTGTGCAGAGTCTTCTCCCCATTAGCAACCCTGCTGGAGTTAGCTGCATGAGGTGTGGGCTGATAATCAAATAGGAACCAAGACAGTTCAGTAGCTAGTGAAGCTGTAGACTGTTTCTTTAAGCCTGCCTTCAAAGTTTAGTCTGCTCTTTCTGCCAGACCATTGGATGCTGAATGGTATGGAGCTGTCCTTATATAATAAATACCATTCGACTTTCCCTACTGGTAAACAATGGCCTGTTTATCTGTGACCAAGACGTCCAGGAATTGCAAAAGACACGAGAAGTTTTTCTATCTTCGTCCTCGTGTTTGATGAAGAAACTCTATGCACATCCAGCCACTTTGAGTGGTCATCCACAACGACAAAGAACATCAAGACCATGAAAGGGCCTGCAAAATCAACGTGTAAATGAGTCCAGGGTTTACCCAGCCATTCCCATGAATGTGCGAGAGATGCTGGCAGTAAGTTTGTCTTTGTTGGCACTCTGGGCATTGCCCCACCAACACAGCTATATCTAGCCACCAGACATAACTTCTCGCAAACATCTTCATTTTGGAAACCCCTGGATGACTCTGATGGAATTTTGGCAGAAACCTTTGCTCCAGACAATCACTCAAGCTCCCCATAGTAAGATGCCATTCTCTGCTGTGAGCCGGTCTCTCCGGGTTCAAAAAGGTTTCAATTCTGATTGTGACAGCCCTTTGGTTCTCCCCATCACCACCAGCTGTTTTGGTTTTGCCAGGGCCAGATCTTTCTGTGTCCAAAGTCTGATATTGTCAGCTGTGACTAGAAGTGTGTCCAGAAAATTTAAAACAGAATGGACTTTTCCAGCAGCGGGGTATCACCAGCAGTGTATCTGCCAGTGGGAGGTTATTCAATGCATCCGCATTTACCACTTGACCTCCCAGACGGTGTTCCAACCTGTAATTATATGCACTTAGAGCCCATCACTGAATTCGCCTGAACTCATTGGCAGCACTGACTTGTTCTCTTTAAGAATACCTAGCAGAGGTTTGTGGCCCATTATCTTATAAATCTATGACTGTAAAGGTATTGGTGGAACTTCGGACTCTAAATATGGCTGTCAAACCTTCCTTCCCTATCTAGATGTATTGACGCTCTGCATTAGCCAAAGTTCTGGTTATGTACTCTATTGGACATTCCTCTCCGTTGGGCCAGCTATGAGCTAATACCACCCTGATGCCATATAGTCATTAGCAGATCTCACTCAGGATCATAGCGTGCCAACATTTTAGAGGAGAATCGCTGTTTCTTCACTTCCCTCAAAGCTCACGTCAATTTCCAAGTCTGACCCTTTTTTGTAAAAGAGTTGAAGCAAAGGTGCCAGAATGGAAACCAGGTTATGTATGAACTTTTAGTAAAAATTCACCAGCCCAAGGAAAGCCTTAAGTTCCAGTACAGATGTGGGAGCCGGGGCACATTCGATATCTCCCAATAGGTAAAACCCAGTCTTGTCAACTCTGTAGCCCAAGTACATCACTTGTGGCGCCTGGAACGCATTTTTTCCCTTCTTAGGCGTACTGAGATAAACGTTTAAGGACTATGTCCAAGTTCTCTAAATGATCCTTATTGGTCTTCCTTGTTATTAGCATATCATCTAGATAAATGGCGACCTGGGGTAAACCTTGCAAAATGTTCTCCATTGTCCACTGACGACACCCAAAATGGCAGTCCCATATAATGGTACAAACCCTCATGGATACTAATTGTAGCATACTTCTGTGAATCCTCATCTAACCACAATTGCAACTATGCATGACTCATGAAGCTTCATGAAGTACAGCCCTCTTACCAGATTTGCATATAAATCCTCTAAACGATGGATTGGGTATTTAACCAACCACAAAAAGTGGTTTACCATTTGTTTAAAATCTCCACAAAGGTGAACTGACCCGTTGGACTTCACAATTGGTACGAACGGTGCTACCATTCCGCAAACAGGAATAGTGTGATAATTCCTTCGCTTTCCAGTCTTCTGATTTCTGCCTCTACTTTTGCCCACAATGCGACTGTCACTAGGCAGGCCTCATAGAATCATGGAATTGCTTCCTGGACCACATGCAAGGTGGCCTTGGCTTCTTTGATAGACTCTAGACCTTCCTGAAAAACGTTCAGGTATTTATTTAGGACTTTACCCAGGCAGCCATTTTCTAATTGAAAAATGTTGAACAAATCTAGTTGAATCTTTTTCAACCAAGTTTGCTCCATCAGCTTGGGTCCGAGCCTTTTACTACAATCAGTGGTAACTGAACCAGCTGTTTCTCATAAGAGATCGGGACCAAAGTTGAATCCTGAATCTGCAAAGGTTCCCCGGTATAGGTTCTCACTCTAGCCAAGGTAAATGTAAGGGTTGAACTCCAGAGAGAATTTTGTTAAAGACTGATTCTACAATCACTAAAATGGCTGCGCCAGTATTGATCTCCGTTAGAACCAGGTGATCATTTAACCAGATGTTTATTTTGATTGGTTCTGATTTGGATGTTGCTAAGCAATTTAACTGTTCCAAATCAGATGCAGGTCGGCTTTTCCAGGGTGTGCACTCTCCTGGGTACCGTCCTATGAGTTCTCTTACTCCATTTAGGTCTACTGGGACTCTCGTGCTGTCTCAAGTCTGCATTCCGGCAGCAAGTTCAATGGTTTGCCGGCCAGATCCTAAAGAAAATTTTAACCATTTGGTCAAGGTCACCGGACCGGAAACGTTAGCTCTGTTTTCTCCTTCACAGATGCTGCCAGACCTGCGGAGGTTTTCCAGCAACTTTGTTTTTGTTCCTGTTTTAACCATTAGGTCAAGGCTTTGCTTTGTGTGGGGTTTTGATGTGGGCTGACCTACAGTCCCTCTATTTAGGATATGACCTGAATGAAGTGATGCAATTGCCTTCATTCAAGTGGTGTGTTCCAAGCTCAATTTGACCTGCAACTCACATGCTCCATTTGCCACATTTTCCACTGTTAAAGACAGTTGTAGTGCCTGTTTCAAGTTCAGTTGGGCTTCAACTAATAGGCAGTTTTACATGGTTACATCATTAATCGCACATACCAAACTCTCAGCATCTCATTAAGGGTTAAACCAAGGTTACATGCCTCTGCCAGTCATCTTAACCTAGTTAAAAATCCTGATATGGATTCCCCTGGTTCTTGAATTGTCAAGTAAGACTGATAGCATCTCAGAATTAGAGGAGGTTGGGGTTGTAACATTCCTTAACGAAATCCATCAACTCTCGAAAGGTTTGAGTATCTGGTGCCTCAGGGAAAGTTAGACTCCTAGTACCTAAAAAAACTGCATGTCCACAGCTGTTGGGAGAATTGTTGCTTTTCATCTGCCCCCATTTCATTTGCCTGGAAAAAAATAACATATTCTTCCCACATATTGGGCCCAATCTTCTATGGCAGGATTAAACGAGTCAAGCTTCCCAAATAACAGCATCATACCAGAAAAGCATACCTCAACTCAAAGATGACCACTGCAAGTGAATTTCTTCAGGAGCATGCTTTTCACTCATCACCGCTAAAATAACTCCAGAGAGGCTGGTATCCTGTCACCAAGTCACCCTTTATTTACATATGGAAAGTCCTTGACAGTGATCCAGCTTCTTTAGAGCCAACTCTGAAAATGAATAGAACCTCCGACACTCCTGTTTATACCTGTTAGCAATGGCTCCCTGATCGAACCAGATTAACAGCCCCAATCGGGGAACTCCTATTCTATGAGGTCCACCCGGCTACAATCTGAGCACTAGAAATGACAACGCTGATGCCAACCCTGTTGACCATTAAAAATCAACCTCAGTACTATCAAGGAGACTTCTGCCAAAATTAGGAGAGCTGCCCCGCAGATTAGTCAAGCAATAGCCTGAAATAGTTACACTAACCAAATCATACCTTACAGACAAAAGTCTCAGACACCACTATCACCTTTCCTGGGTTTGACATGTCCCATTTATGGGCTAGGTTCAGCAGAGCTGGTGGCACAGTGGGACGGAGCCAGGAAGGGAAAATTCTAATCAGTAGTTAGAATCTATTTACTTGTGATAAATAGCAGCTCTGGTTAAGTACAGAAAGCTGGTCTCGAGGCAGGCATGGGTTAATCCAGGATTTGTTAAAGTCAAATTATAAATCACAAACTCCATTAAATTGTTTGACTGGACAATACAAGATTGATCAAGTTAGACCAGTACATATTGCGTATAAGAACTTTGGAAGCCAGTTGACAAACAGATTTGTAAAAGAATGAAGGCACATAGAATTAAGAGGAACGTAGTAGTATAGGTATAAAACAAATTACTATGGATTCTTGGATCTGAAATATGAACAGAAAATATTGGAGAAACTCAGCAGGTCTGACAGCATCAATGGGCAAAGAAATTGAGTTAGTATTTTTAGTACAATATGACTCTTCTTCAGAACTGCTGAGGTTCTCCAGCATTTTCTGTTTTTAGCATGGATATAAAAATCAGTGACAGGAGGCAAAGGTGAACTGAAGTTTTTCAGTGTGGTGGTTTGCAGTGATGTTCCTCAAGGATCAATTTTAATCTTCTCAAATTTTTTGGATGACCTAGTCTCAACTATTGGTGGTAGTACTATAATGCTTGCAGATTAGATTGAAAAGTAGCGGGTAGTGAGGAGGAGAGTTTACAGCCTATGGATGACACAATCGAGATGATGAAATGATGGTGGAGTTCAAAGTGAAGAATGTGAAACGATACACATTCAAAGGACTAGAATAGAATTATCATTTATTGTCACTTGTATTTTTTACAAAAAAAAACACAATGAAAATGTTTAAGTCACCATAATATGGCACCTAAGTCACCATTCCACAGCACCTAACTTGCCATACCATGACTCATATGAAAGATGCATAAAAGGCATAATTTTGAAAAGTGTAGGCGAGTAGTGATCGTAGTCACCATATGCACAAATTCTTAAAGGTGATCAAGCAACACATAGGCTATTTGGATTTATAAACAGAAGCATAGAATATAAAAACAGAGAGAGCTTTATGAATCGATGGTTAAGCTTCAACTGGACAATTGTGCACAATTCTGGGAACTACACTTTGGAAATTTATAAAGGGTACAGAAAAGATTAACCAGGATGTTACCAGAGTTGAGGGATTTAAGTAAGGAGTGGAGAAATTGGAAAACTAAGGACGGAACTCAGTGAAAATTAAATGTTTTCAGAGATAGTAGGAACAGCAGATGCTGGAGAATCTGAGATAACACGGTGTAGAGCTGGATGAGCACAGCAGGTCAAGCAGCATCAGAGGAGCAGGAAGGCTGACGTTTCG